ATATATATATATATATATATATATATATATATATATATATATATATATGAGTTTCTGACACATACATTTAAAAGAAGATAAGAAATCCCTACATTAAGGAGTAACACATACGTAAAAATAAAAAAATAAAATAAACAAACCAAAATATAAAATATGTATCATAAACATATCTAAATTATAAACATGTTATATTTGTGTACAAAAGAAATCCGATCATGTAGAAGTAACGCTTATATCAACAAAATAAGGAAGGAAATCAGACTTTTCATGTGATTGACAGCGATATTGATCAATCGATTAAAAGTTCCGCGTGTGTAAACCAATCAGAGCGAGTCAGGGGCGGGGTTTAAGCGCGCTGTGCCTCAGCTGCTAGTTTTTCAGCGGATTTTTGTTGTCATCAAGATGGAGTTCTTGTTAGGGAATCCGTACAGCACTCCTGTTGGCCAGTGTATTGGTGAGTTCGCGGATTATTAGAGCCTCTGATTCAACGCAGTGTGTTGTAATAATCATTAAAGGATCACATTCGTCCATTGTTATTGTTGAAATCCGCCGCGAATGTGAATTAGCATGAAGAGTCAGCACAGCTAGCTAAAGTAGATGATGCGCTAACACCATGGTAAAGTCTAGAGGAGATACAGCTGAAGATACTCACATCAGAATAGCACAACTTTGATGACACAATACAGCAATAAACAGTGTTTTTACATTAGTGTGAGGGTTGGGGTGGGGGTAGACGTTACTAAAATACAGATTAATGGGTAGTTTCATAAATAGTATGAATAATACTGTGTATTATTACGGTATTTACAATACTGTGAGGGGAAGACGTTAATAAAATACAATTTAATGGGTAATTTAATAATTAATATGAATAATATTATGTATAATTACTGTTTTTACATTACTGTGGGAGTAAGTTAAGGGTTATTTGGCTAGACGTTATGGCTAGACATTTAAAGAATACAATTCAATGGGCAATTGAATAAATAATATGAATAATTCTCGTTAAAATTGCTGTATTTACATTACTGTGAGAGGTAAACGTTAATAAGATACAAATTAACTGGTAATTAAATAAATAATAGGAATAATACTGGGTATAATTACTGTATTTACATTACTGTAAGGGGTAGATGTTAGTAAAATACAAATTAATGGGTAATTTAATAAATAATATAAATAATTCTCGTTATAATTACTGTATTTACATTACTGTGAGGGTAAGTTAAGGGTTGGGTTATGGCTAGACGTTAATAAAACATAATTTAATTGGTCATTTAATAAATAATACGAATAATTCTCATAATAATGACTGTATTTACATTACTGTAAGGGGTAGACATGAATTAAATACAATTTAATAGGTAAATTAATAAATAATATGAATAACTCTTGTAATATTGTTGTATTTGCATTACTGTGAGGGGTAGACGGTAGTAAAATACAAATTAATGGGTATTTTAATAAATAATATGAATAATTCTCATAATAATTACTGTATTTATATTACTGTGAGGGTAAGGTAAGGGTTGGATTAGGGGTAGATACTAAATAAAATACAATTTAACTGGTAATTTAATAAATAATGTAAATAATTCTCATTAACTTTCAGCTGCGGCTGTATCCCTTCTAGTTACAACCGCTAACCAGCATCTTCATCAGGTTTAGACACAGCTAGTTTGACAAACTCTGCACATCTGTTTTCATAGCTGGAGAATTCATTAAGTTTGTAGAGAGTAAGGAGGAGTGTGTTTCGTGTCCGTAAAGTTAGTTAGTTTTGAGCACTGAAAGCTCACTGTGATCAATCAGAGATCATTCTCTATAATATTAATATTTTAATAGTTAAAGCTTAATCTACACTGAGATATCATTCAATCCTGTTTGTGTTTATAAAATAAATGTATTACTCTATATGTAATGCTTTGCTCAGGATTGTTTAGTAGATCACCATAACACACACACACACTATATATATATATATATATATATAAAATACAGCACTGTGGGCAATACAAATGAGTTAAATGTTTTTACTCATTGTTAAAAAATGAGTTTTATTTGTTCATTATTATTTTTGCATTGTATTGTATAATATAGTGGCACTTTATGTAATTATAAATATTATATTATACA